TAAACCTACTTTTGCCCCACCCTGTATATAAGGAGTTGGTAGTATAGACCCAAATAATGGAAAAAACAATCATTGATTTATTTCCTAAAAACAAATGTTGCCATACAAATACATTTTAAAATTTAAACCAATATAATATGAAAATAGCACACTCAATAAGGAGTTAAATGTATTCTTTGGCATAGTGAGAATTAATTTAGGTGGAATAAGTGTTCTCTTTTTTTAGCGAATTTATTGGGGTGACATTGGCTGAGGTCCCCCTTAGCAATAGCTGGATTTGAAAAGACGGTAAGAGTTGAGGCTGTTCCCAACCTGACAGCTCTTTTCCGCTGAACTCCATTGTGTTTGCCACTTAGACCTATTCCCTGAGTCCGTCACTCAAAGCCAGCATTACCGATGGGCGGGTTTGTTTTCCGCGTAAAAAGAGAAAAGCCAGGGGACAGGCTGCATCCTATTCCATTCATCACTGATCAGGGGAGAGGTCTTTCCACACAGAACAAGAATTTGGGGTCATCCCAGCAAAATTCATCTTTTTCACATATTGCGTTACGTTGTCCTTTCTCCTAGAATAGGGATCCAACATGTTCCTACTCTAGGGGTTGAACCAGAAGTAATTTGTTTCCATCAGGCATCTCTCATCACGGGCACTGCTCATACATGAAAGCATAGGCAGGCCGCCCCACTGCGCACTTGTAAGTCCTGAGGCTCGTGGCGGTGAGAATGGTCTGGAAGTCGTTATGAGATGCACTTCACAAAAGAGGATGACAAACAATGGGGTCATAGAGCGGGAAACAGAACTGTTTCCATTTCTTCCATTGTAGCTCTTACAAGATCAAAGCCTCTTGACTCTCGAGTAAGTAGAGTTGAGACCAGAGGCTCCTGTCTTCCTGTGTCTTTCCTTAAAAACCTGCAAAGGGTCTGTGCACTAGAGTCCATTTCTTTTCGGGCCCCTATATTAATAATGGGCATACGGTTAAGGAGATACGTTTCGCAAATGGCCTGGAGAATGGAGAAGATCATGATGCCTTTTGCTATAAACTAAATACAAGGGGTACCACTTTCAATGATTTAATGTGAAATGAAGAAAATAAATCAGTGTTTCCTTCCTGTATAGCACTTGTGATTTTTATCTAAGTACTTGTTTAATAACAACCTCCTCCATTCTCATTTAAATATCTGATTTGTATTTCTTTTCTGAATAACCAAGTTTTTAGCAGAGACTGGAACCTATAAAGTACAAAAGTAAATTTTTGACAAATGAGAACAATCCATTTTGATCCTGTTGTACTCAAGACTCTCAGAGTTTTATCTTATTTTAGGTAACTGTCTAAACACGGTGGCGTCACATAGTAATGGTAGAAGCTTTGATGGAGAAACTATGAGTCGGATAAGATAGTGGGAGATTTCGTTCACTCTCTTCCTTAGTTTGCCCAGCAAACCTGCGGGAACATTGTGTCATTGCCTCCAAAGAACTCCGCAGCTGAAGGACTTCAACCACACGTGTTGAGTACAGAGCCGACACTCAACCCCAGGCAGGCATTTCTGAATTCAACTCTTGACAGGATAGGGAGGGAGCGGCTTTCTACCATCAAAAAAAAAGTTTATGTGTCAGATGTCAGGACCATTTTTTGCTAAAAACTACCCGATGGCACCCAGTGTAAGAAAATTGGGTAGTCTTTCCTAGAAATTCATTGACATTGCATATAAATCAAATTGTTTAATTATTAAATAATTAGATGTTATGATGAAGGCTTACAAGGACCTCTCCCTGTCCCCACATGTCCTCTGGGGCAGCACAGAGCACGGGACGGTGTGCGGCTGAGGGGCCAGGCCTTCCTGCCGGGTCCTCCTCCCAGGACACAGAACATGTTCTGAACATCATGAGAATCACCGCCTTGGCAGCATCGAAGGGAAGCGGGATAGTAATAATGCGGGATTGACCTGCCCCAGGTGCTGTAGGGAAATGGTCATCTTGGCCTCCTCCACCTCAGGGGACTGTTCACTCTCTAAGTCATTACATTCTTTTTTTAAAAAATATATTTTATTGATTTTTTTACAGAGAGGAAGGGAGAGGGATAGAGAGTTAGAAACATCAATGAGAGAGAAACATCGATCAGCTGCCTCCTGCACACTCCCTACTGGGGATGTGCCCACAACCAAGGTACATGCCCTTAACTGGAATCGAACCTGGGACCCTTGAGTCCACAGGCTGACGCTCTATCTATTGAGCCAAACCGGTTAGGGCTACATTCTTATTACATTCCTCAGGTCTAAAAATAATATTTTAGTCTTTGCTAAATGTGATAGATCCACCTGTAACAACAGTTATGACTTCTTTTGTGGTTTTGAGAAAAGGCACACTCTGCCTGAGCAAAGTTATTCCAAGCTCAAGGGCTGAGGCATTGAGACTTGATGTTTGTGTGCTCTACACCGACCGACTTCCTGTAAGGTGCGTTCCTAAACGCTCTACAGGCTCCGCATAGGAAATACTGCCTTTAAAGTGAGATCTCGTCATGTCCTCTTTGGTTGCAGGCTTTTAGGGTGTCTTGTTTGAATGGGGTGAGAATGAATATATATCCAATTACTAGGCAAATTAACTCATTTCCTGTGAATTTGTAGAACAGCTTCAAGTTCATCAGCAATTATCTTTTGTGCACCTTGCACGTGCCACCGGATCAGCACTGATCTGGACTCAGAGTGAATGAATCCAGGGCAGAATAGAAGTGGGGGAAATGTTGTTCTCCATTTGAACAAATGCTGAATTAGAATCTGCAGCATTTTCATAGCAAACGGGGATCCAGAGGACCATCCGAAGGAGCAAGGAGCTATTTCAGGAAGCATAACTTGGCTGCCCTGTGAGAGAGAAAGTGCCCGAATGCAAGGCTCTGTACAGACAGAAGAAAAACAACAATATATTACTGTCCCATCAACCCACACGGAACATGCTAGGCCTTATTTTCATGTTGCTTTTGGCATGAACCACAATACACTTGAATCATTTCGAACGATGTTAATAGGAGAATTTGTGTTGGCAAGAGGCCAACTAAAAGCTGTGGATACAAAAGCAGTAGCCAGAACTGTACACTTCTGTCTGGAGGGGTTTGCTAGTCACAGAGCGTGACAGGCAATTCCTGGAGGAAAACATGCCCCCTCCTTGTAAGTGGCAAAGGCTGAGAGAAGCCGGGAAACCGAGAGGACACGTGGCGAGGTAACTCACAGCGCAGCTGAAAGGAGCGAGGGGAATTCCCATCCTCCAACCCAACAACACCTCCTCCATAAGCAGGTTCTCCCCTTCTCTTCTCTCCCCACGCTCCTGAAAAGCCACCAACCTGCTCTCTCGCTATCAATGTATCAATTCTAGATACTTCTAGAATCAAACAGTAATTTTAAAAACACCACCCGTGGCAACAGAGGCAGCGTTTGGAGAGATGCAACTGAAACCAAGGGATGTCGAGGGTCACAGCCACCACAGGAGGGGAGAGGCAGGAAGGACTCACCCAGAGCCTCCAAGGGCCAGGGCCTTGCTCACACCCGATCATGGACCCCGCCCTCCAGAACTGTGAGAGAATGATTTGTTGTTTTAAGCCACCAGTTCTCATATTCTATTAGGCTGCCCTGGAAACTAATTCAATGGGTTACACATTGAGAAAAGCACAGAAAACAGAAGTGCGAAGCTCAATAGTTAGTGAAAATATGTTCTAGGAGCTGCCCTTAGGACTCTTCCCAATGCCACCCCACCCCTTTCCCAAAGGTAAGGACCGTCACGACTTCTAACAGCCTAGTTTCTTCTGTGGATTATGTTTGTGATTGAACCAGATACTGTGCATTCTTGTCTGTCTGGCTGCTTCCACCCACTCTTATGTTTCTAACATTCAGCCACACACATACCACATTTATGTATCCACTTTCCCTTAGATCCACGGATGCTTGGTGGTGTTTGTAGTTCAGTGCTGTTATAAATAGTGCTGCCCTCAACCCGCTCATGCATATCTTTCGGTTAACGTGTGTGCCCATGACTGTTGCTTATTTAACACAGACTATGCACATTTACAACCTCTGTACAAAATGACAACTTTCTTTTTTGTTAGTCCTCACCCAGGGATATTTTTCCATTGATTTTTAGAGAGAGTGGAAGGAAGGAGGAGAGACACACAGAGAGAAATATCAATGTGAGAGAAACACATCAATTGGTTGGGAATTGAGCCTGCAACCGAGGTATGTGCCCTTGACCAAAATTGAACCTGGGACCCTTCAGTCCTCAGGCCGATGCACTATTCACTGAGCCAAATTGACTAGGGCAGAAAATACAAACAACTTTCTAGAGTATTTGCATCAGCTCACACACCTACCAGCAGTGAGTGAGGATTCTTATACTTGGTACTGATAGTCTTGGGGTTTCCATCATTCTCAGGGCAGTGCAATCGCATCCTACGGTATTTTAACGTGTACTCACTTCCCTGGCCACTCATGAACACTTCCAGGTGCTACCGTGTGAGTGCCAGTGGTAAAACGACATGGGACAAGAGTTTGCCAGAATAAGTACCATGACAATAACAGGAAACATATGAAAGATAATGGTTCCTAGAAAATAGCATCGTTGGTAATACGTTAGTAAATAGTTTTCGTATCTTAACTGAAATTAGTAGCACTTATTATTATGCACAAGAGACAAAAGCATGTAGAAATGGGGTGAGACTCACGTCCCTCAGTCCTCTGTGAGAGTGAGTTTTCTGGAGCACATTGCTGTAAGCTACATAAAGCCCCATTGAAAATGGTTTAAAGCGTCAGGAGGTTTATTGCCTAATCTCATAACCACTTCAGAGCAGCATGGTTCCAGCGAACATTACCGAGGCCCCCCTCTCCCGGGTCTCAGCCCGACAGTGATACCCAGGCGCAGCGGTTCTCCATGGCTACAGATGGTAAGGAGGTCGCCTAGACATGTTACAGAAGAAAAGATGGTAAGTGATCACCGATTATTTCTCATGGCTGGTAAGCTCATCGGTTTGTCCCCTGATGACACGCGTCGTATAGTTTGGAAATGAGGCCAATGTCCTGAACCAAATTTCACACATGTGATGTACTAGATGTGGGGAAAACTCTAAATAATAGGCATCTTGAAGTATTGCCCAGTTTCATGAAAATTAAAGTTTAAATTCCAGATGTAACACTGAGCAAGTGTTTCTCAAACCCAAGTGGGTTGTTATACAGATCTTTAATCCAAAGATCATGCTTAAAACGTTATTTAACACCTTAATGCATGACACTGATTAATGCTGCAGTCACACAGGGATCCTCTTGTTTCAAAATACAAGTATCCTTGAAATGAGAGGTCAATGAAATTGAGAAAAATGCCAAGATGACATAGAAAGAAAGGGCTTATTAAAATGTTTTTGGTGACAGCTATATGGCAATATCTAAAACTGGCATTTTTCCCCACCAGCATTGAATATTTCTTTATAAAATAAATAAATAAATAAATAAATAATTTCCCTGTGAAGATTTTTGTACAAGAATTGCATTTTTAAAGTCCCCTCCCCTCCCCCGGAACCATGAATGTTAAATAGCTATTACCCACACCAGATTCTATACCTGCACTTGGAGGCCTCTGAGCACACACACACACACACACACACACACACACACACACGTCATACTCCCTCAGAGGGACACGGTGACTTTTCCCCAGAGGTTAGCTCAGTGGCACCCCCTCTTTCTCCAGGTCACCCCTCAGCCATCCCCCTGACTTCATGTTTCGCGTTCCTGAGAATCATCGGTCTTCCTTTTGGCTATGTCACTCAACCGCCACCTCATAGGAACCTTCTTCCTCTCCCCTGTGACCCTGGGATCTTGGGCCCAGAAGCTCCCACATTCCCTACATGGGGGGAGAAGGAGGTGTGAAGCTCGGATGGAAGGAACAGCCCTTGAGAGCCAGTGCTGAGGAAAGAACCTTCCATGCCTTCCATTGCGGCCTTTGATGCTGTTCTTTCCTCCAGAAACAGGGAGGAAACTCGAAGTTGCGGCCGCATCACCCGCCCAGTGGGATGAAGAGGAGTGTTCCTTCCACCAACTGCAGGTAAGATCGATGGTCAGCTAACAGCTCATTCCCAGCCCAGGAATGATCCAGTCTAGGCTGACCGGAGTCTGCTTTGCCTTCTCTCTACCTATGACTTTGATTAAAGCCTTGTGCTTAAAAAACAAACAAAAAACCTTCTTTCTAGCTTTAACTTTGAACAGCATTAAACCCAGGAGAAGGAAAACTGATCATCTCATGTTTGGGGAAGAAGACACTTCAGTGTTTTGGCACTAACTTCCATGTCTAAGCAAGCACGTCTCCCAGGGTATCTGGGGTACTGAACTCCAGAGGCCAGTACTCTCACCCCTCCCCCTTTACAGAGGAAGCAACAGAAAATTCTAGAGGCTGTTTGCTTTAACTGATGAAGTTACTTAAATAGTTGAACTAGGATTCACATTCTCTTCCACTTTCAGGGTCTGCCTCTGACATTTTTTAAGACTCAGGTCAAAAGTACAAATGGAGGCTCATAGACCGTACATCTA